ACATTGCCTAATTTTAGCTTCTCTGCAAACTTCCCTCTCTCTACTTAGCATACTTGACAATGGCCTTTCTTTAGTTGCTTTGTTGCTGACCCAGCAGTGTGGAATCATCCGTGACTGATAGTACCTTGAAGCAATGAGCTAGTGCCCCCTGTCATTTATCCCCAGGTCTTAGTTGTCCAACATGTTCAGTAGGCTTATGATGCCTAAGGGAGGGAAATCTCAAGTGACCCTGTTTGTCGTCCTGCTCACTGATCACCAGAGAGTTGGTGAATGAGATGAGCCTTTTAAAATTGATTAGTATAGAAAGCTATCTTCTCAGAAACATTCCTGCCAATGTACCAGACTGGAACCCAGTTCTTCCGATTCCTAGCTTCGTGGTCTTTCCACTGCAATACACCATAGTTTTTGTATGGTAAACTCTCAGTGAGAAAATCCCCTTTGCCAATACAGACCAGTACCTGCTCTGCTATATATAGTCTTTTTAAAAAAAATTAATTGTATTTTATTTTTTCCAATTACATGTAAAGACAATTTTCAACATTCACTTTTTGAAAGATTTTGAATTCCAAATTTTCTCCATCCTCACCCCACTTCCCAAGACGGCAGTAATCTGATATAGGTTATACATGCAACATAGAGTCTTAAAGAATTTCTTGGGACGCTGAGAAGTTAAATGACAGCCAGTGTGTATCAGAGGCGGCAGTCAAGCTCCTCTCGTCTTCCTTGACACCGAGACTAACTCTCTATTAAGCCATGCTGCTTCTCACATCGTGGCGTGACCCACGTTTAAAAAGTTGTTTCTCCTTCCGCCCTTGCAAACCGAAGGGGAAAAAAACACAGCCCCAAACTATAGTTGATGCAATAGATTCGTGCTTCTGGGACATGTTTATTTTTAATTCAAGTTTATTGGATTACAGTTCCACCAGGGTTTTGTGTGCCGCTGGCAGCCATCCTATATTATCATTTCCGCACACGCCTCCCTCCCCCCCTCCACCTGAATGTTTCCTCTGGCCCCAGTTGTCCCGGGGAACGTTCTGCAGCATTTCAATGACTTCTGGAAGTGAGCTTTGGCGGAGCCGACCTTTGAACACAGGATGTGAGATCCTATCGCCCGCCGGGTTGAAAGGAAACCCTGGCACAAAGCGAAGAGCTGGCACAAATGTGCAGGGCTTCCCTTCGCAGCAAGAAATGGAGCTTTGTGCTTGGGCTGCATAAAAGTATACTAGTGCTTTTTGACTTGAGGGGGAAGGTTAAGGAGGGCAGGGGCTCCGAAAGCCAGCTAGCTCTAAGCCCTTTTCAGCTTGGACCCAAAAGGGTTTTGTGCTCCTGTGTTCCCCCGCTTGAACACCTCACAGAGCCGTCCTTTGAGCTGTAGGTTAGGGCTGGTGAGGCACACACTCTAGGTCAGTGGTGTCAGGCTCAAACAGAAGCAAGGGCTACTAACCCATATGTCAGGATCCTTGCTGGCCACATACTGACTTAGAAAACCGTATATGCTTGTTCTTTCCTTCCTTCCTTCCTTCCTTCCTTCCTTCCTTCCTTCCTTCCTTCCTTCCTTCCTTCCTTCCTTCCTTCCTTCCTTCCTTCCTTTCTTCATCAACAGATTGGAATCAGATAGGAACTACATTTTAATCTGGTTCAGGCCATTTTCAGGTGGATTATGGGCTACTTGTTTGACACATCTGCTCTGGATAGGTTTGGTAAATTCCTGCATCAGAATCGTGAGGGAATCATGAATGGAAATCAATTTTGTCAACTTGTAAAACAAAGGAGATTGTTTGCCTTATGGATAGATGGTTTGCCTGATAGCTAGATGGAGTGGAAACTCTTGTTCTATGACCTTTCCTTCTTTCCACTGTATAAAACCCAAATGATTTCACATGAATTAAAGGGAAATTTCACTGATGGTTTTTATGAAATCAGTTGATGATAGATTTTTTTCTTTGTGCTATCAGTGACTTGATGCCAAAATTCTTATTGATAATCCTTTCTTAATGTCATATTTTTATTTACTTCATTAAATATTTCCCAATTACATGTAAGAAAATTTTAACATTCATTTTTTAAAATTTTGAGTTCTAAATTCTCTCCTTGCTCCTGCCCCTCCCCCACCCACTGAGAAGGCAAGTAATTTGATATTGATTATACATATGAAGTCATATAAAACATTTCCACATCAGCAAAGAAAACATGCATATCAAAAAGACAAGAAAAAAATTTTTAAAGTATGCTTCAGTCTGCACGCAGAGTTCATCAGTTCTTTCTCTGAGGGTAGATAGCATTTTTCATCCTGGGTCCTTTGGAACTGTCTTGGACCATTGTCTTGATCAAAGTAGCTAAGTCTTTCAAAGTTAGTCACCCTTACAATATTGCTATTACTGTGTACAGTGTGGTTCTGCTCACTTCACTTTGCATCAGTTCATATAAGTTTTCCCAGGTTTTTCTGAAAGCATTCTGTTCATCATTTCTTATAGCACAATAGTATTTCATCACAATCATATACCACAATTTGTTCAGCCATTCCCCAGTTCATGGGCATCCCTTCAATTTCCAATTCTTTGCCACCACAAAAAAGAGTTGCTATACATGTTTGTACAAATACATCCTTTTCCCTTTTCTTTGATCTCTTTGGGATACAGACCTAGTAGTGGTACTGGTGGGCCAAAGAGTATGCATAGTTTTATAGCCCTTTGGGTGGGTTTCAAAATGTTCTCCAAAATTGTTAGACTAGTTCACAATTTCACCAGTAGTGCATTAGGGTCCCAGTTTTCCCACATCTCCTCCAGCATTTGTCAAATTCCCTTTCTTTCATGTTAGCCAATTTGGTAGATGCGAGGTATCTCAGAATTGTTTTAATTTACATTTCTCTGATCATTTATTAATAATCATAATCCCAAGTACACTCTTTGCCATGACTTGCTGTATTCCCCACACACAAACATATGCATGTGCATGCATGTATGCTTCCGGCGCGCGCGCACACACACACACACACACACACACACACACACATACTTCTTGGATTATGGTTGTATACAGAGTCCATTATCCATAAAGTTATGTAGACTATGAAGCCCTGGGGATCCATGCCCTGGTTATCAACTGATAAAAATCATTTTGTACTTTTAATATTTAGATTAGAGAGCCTACATCTGAAACTCTCAGGGCACCCTCCCAGGCAGGTTCCCCAGGAATATATATATTAGAAATGACATACCCACAGATTTCCTCTTTATGTTCTACCTGGAAATGTCTGCAGGGGTTTGTAAAGGCAGAAGAAAGTCTGGGTTACATACTTGTATAGCTATGTCTGAGAAAGGCAGATTTTGAAGGTAATGGCTTGTTTTTCTTTACATTTTTATTTCTTGCAAATGGAAATAAAAGGCAATAATTTCAAGGAAGCAGGACACTGGAAACAAGGAACTCCTAACTTGGTCTCTGTGTGCTACCTAACTTGTTGGCTTTTGGGTGGGGGCACTTTTTAACACTTTCATTCCCCTAACTGTGAAATGGGAGTGAGGGGCAATATTCTTTGTCTTCACTTTCAGAGAGAGCTGTTAAGGACTTTATTGAAGTCCTTGAGTGTAAGATGCATTGGGATCCTGGCATGAAAGGCACACCAGAGAACTCACAACAAGGTGCTTAATGGAAGCTAGATGGCACAGTAGGTAGAGCTCTGGGTCCAAAATCAAAAATGATACACAAACATATAACTAGCAGTGTGACCCTGGGCAAGTCACTTAACGTCTGCCTGCTTAAGTTTCCTCAACTGGAAAAATGAGGATAATAATGGCATCTACCTCACAGGGTTGTTGTAAGGATCAAATGAGATAATATTTGTAAAGTGCACGCATACACATACAAACATGCACACATACATATATACACAAGTACATAGACACATATGTATATAGTTTTATATATAACATGTGTTTATGGAATATATAGCATATATATATACATATAAATTATTATATAAAGTATTTCTAACATAGTAGGCACTTAATAAATGCTTTTTCTCCTTCCCCTTCCCTTTAATGTGTAGAGGGATACACTGGCATTACTCCAATCTTGGCCACACCATGGATAATGGCTACTTGGCTGTTTATAAGTTAGGATAGTTACCTCTTTTTCCTATATGTTTTCTTTTCTGTAAAACGGGAGCATTGGACTAGAACAGCACTTTTTCTTTCTTTTTGGTGAGGCAGTCAGGGTTAAGTAACTTGCCCAGGGTAACACAGCTAATAAGTGTCAAGTCTCTGAGGTCAGATTTGCACTTAAGTCCTCCTGACTCCGAGGCTAGAGCTCTATCTACTGTGCCACTTAGCTGCCCCTTAAAACAGCACTTCTTAAATTAACCCATATGGGGTTGTGAAAAATTTGGCAATAGTAAAAGGTTTCTGAACACAAAACAACCAAAAATTAATTCAAAATTGAACATATAATGAATCTGAGGTGTTTCTGGCAGCGCTGGTTGCATCACCCAGACTTTGCTGCAGCCTTGGTTCTGAACACAAAGCACGCGCACTTTGCACTGCACACGCTCTCAGGCCATGCAACACCAATGAATGCTGCCCAAATGCAAAGTGGAAAAAGTTTAAGAAGCCCTGAAGTAGAAGAAATGATGTCCCTTCTACTTGCAACATTGTGATTCTGTATTTTAATATTCCCTGTTTTTTCCCTTCCAACTCCTAACATTGTAAGCTCTGCATTCTGGCATTCTGTTTTCTGAGGTCCCTTCCAGTTTTCATATTCTATGTCTCCTGGCACCAAGACAATCATGGTAAGCTGCCGACGGATCTTGGCTCATTGCCTGCCCTCACTACTTCACACTGACCATGCAGATGCAACCTCAGTGCTGTTCATTTGTTGGACATGATCCTAAAACTAATTTAGAACCACCGATTCCTTGCTATTTATTGACTTGGTTTGCCTTGCTCATTTGCAAGGTTATAGGAACATGTCTGTTCATTCCTGATATTGTGTTCATCTTGTTTCAGTGAACATGATCTGGGTGAGGATATCTATGACTGCGTCCCGTGTGAAGATGAAGGTGATGATATCTATGAGGATATTATTAAAGTGGAAGTCCAACAGCCTATGGTAATGTATGTGTGTATGTGTATGTCTCCCCACCCCCATCCCCTACCCTCCTTGCCTTAGATTTAGAAGCAGCAATCCTCAGAATCTGCTGACACATCTCTTCTGATTGTTCAAGCCTTTGTGAAAAGGCAGAAAGAAACTAGATTAGAGCCACTAGTACCATTTGTAAGATTTTTTAATGTGTTGCTATGGAATTCTCCTCTGAAGGATTTGCAAAGTTCTAAGTTCTTATTGCAAAAAAACAGCATTACAAATAGTTGCTCAGTCCTCATTGTACACAGCGGGTATCATTTCATCCTTTTGTACACAGAACGATGAGGCTGATATTGGCTCAATTAGCCAGCTGTGCATCTTTTATGTGGCAAGTATATTTACTCCCAAGCAACTTGACTAATAATCTGTCTGAAGCCAGCTTTCCACTGCATATTTTTTTTTATCAAGTGTAACTACTCTTCCTTAAGGCCACCAGCCTTCCCTGCCCATGGGTGGTGCATGTAGTAGTGAGGTTGAAACATGCTGGTAGAGCTTATTAGGCCTCTGTGACCCAAAGTCCTTCTTCTCTAAACCATCAACAAGTCCTTACTGTGTGAGTAAGTGTTTTTGTGAAACCATGTGCTGTCACTGAACAAAATTGGATTTTACCCAGACACCAAATTTAAGTGTTTTTTTCCCCCTTAGTGTAGCACTAACCAGCTGGTGGTGGTAAAAGAAAAGACAGCAGAGGGGGAAAACCAACCCCAAAAGTGCCTTTCAAAGAGATATTTCTCATTCTGCGGAAGTGTCTGTTGGTTTACTGGTGCCGCAGTAGAGCAGATGTGAATGTGCCTTTCACAGACCAGAGTTTACTTTCCACACCAAACAAACCTGCTCTGAAGATGAAGGTGGTTCTAATTTCTATTTTGTGGGTTTCCCCTCTTCCCACGTGTGCAACACAGAAGCCAAGAGCAGAGCCCAGGAAGAGAGTATGAAGACCAAGCATGATTAAGACCAACATCTCCTCTCTGCAGAATACTTACAGACAATGCCTTTTTACCTGCCTCCCTTGACCCTGGGGCATGGGCCTGGGGACGATTCCTGAGGCTCAATTTCCCTGTCAGACTCAGGAAGGACATTTCCAGAGCAAGAAGAAGGGCATGTTTCTTTCTTTTTTCTTTTTTTTTTTTTTGTATGTTTCTAAAAGAAGTCAATTTGTCCAGATTAGAGCGAGCCCATCTCTGGTCCACCCTTGTAACAGACAGGGGTTCCCAAACCAAACCTGTTCAGATAGATGATCCAAATTAATCACCCAAACACTATGTGTCTTGGCTTAGTGTTTTCCTCCTTCCTGCCACAGGGCCTTCTGGAAGTTCATACCTGAAAGCCAAAGATCTCCCTGCTGACCATTTTGAATTTGACAATCAGTGGTGATTAGAAGAAATTTTAGTCCTAGGTCTCAGTACCTTTCCTCATGAAAGCCTCTTTGACCACCTAGGGGTTTTACTCTATGACTAAGACATGTCTTAAGAGCACTGGCCCTGGAGTCAAGAGGACCTGAGATCAAATCTGGCCTCAGATACTTGCTAGCTGTGTGAGCCTGGGCAAGTCACTTAACCCCAATTGCCTTTAAGAAAAAAAAAGACATATCTTGTGACTAAAATATGAAGACAGCAATAAAAATTGAAATGGTAGAAAATTAAGGAATTCTATATCGAATGAATATCTCTGCCCGCACAAATTCCCCAGTATCCATATTGCCATCTCCACAGCCATCCTCCCTTAGAAAGGATGTGTCCTTTTTTTTCCTAGTTCCTGATGATGTCCCCATTTAGGGTGTTTATTTGATCTCAAAATGCACATGAAAAGTCCTAAGATTTATTTTCAAAGCCTGCCAGGGAGCATAAGGGAAGATTGCTTATCTGTGTTCAAGGGAAGAGATGGATGTATTACAAGTGCTGCTTTGTGCAGCTCTTAATCTCCCAGCCAAAGGACTGAAACATTTATAGAGTGGCCCTGTTGATCCCTAGTAGGATGGAAATGGCACTTCATGCCTGCATCCTCTCGGAGATAAAGCAGGTGGTTTTATTTTCCCTGTTATGCCCGGAATTAACCTAATGCTGTCAATGGAAGACAGCTGAAATCTATTTTGTCCTCCCTCCTACCATTCAAGTAGAAATGTAAACTCCTTGAGGGCAAGGAATATATTTTTTGTTTTCATATCCTCAGTGCCCTGCAAGTATTCATTGAATTGAATTGTGAGGCTTGTGAAGAAAGGTACAATCAGGAGCTCTCTGGCCTGAGGTAAAAGCTTAAGGAATGACCAGGTGTCCCTTTTCTTTGAAGCAATATAAATGTGTCAGGGTATGAGGAAGAGTTTGGTGGCCAGGCTTGGTTCCAGAGCTGTTTCTCCTCCTGCATGGAGCTGTGATGTGTGTGCAGGTGTGGCTGACTGTAATGGGCTGTCTTGTGTCACTGGCAGTATGTTGGAGAACTGGGGCCTGGCTCTCACCCAAGCCCAGCTTGAAGTTGCAGAGTGTGGGCTCCGCTAACTGTTTGTGCTTCTTCTCCCTTCATGCTTTCAGATTAGATATATGCAGGTAAGTGACAGACCCGGAGGAGGCTACGCCAGCTTTCACATAGCTTTGCATCTTTCTGGTGCGAGGTACAAAAGTGAACATGTACAAACACAGGGCATCCACACATATATCATTACAGATGTTTGTTGAGACAAAATGAATTCAACCTATCACAGTGGCTAGTCATTGATCAGAGTAGCCAGGATGAGTATGTTACCTGCATAGCATGGTTATGCCAATTCTGGCATCAGTCCATTCTCAGCTGACTCTCAGCCCATTCATTTCCTGCCATCCTGACAAGGATAAATGCCCCTTTTATGACTGTTTGGTGAAGGCATTAAGACAGCATTAATTACTTATAACTTCAGCACCAGTAGATTACTGGCAAATTCTTTACCCACCTTAGGTATACAACAGAAGAAATTATTGTATTGAATTGGACTACATGACTCTTAAGACCTCAAGAAAAAGTCATACTACAGACTAAAGCCAGGAACTGTTTGCTTTGTGGGTCCCACTTTCTTGGAGTCAAGGATGTTCCAATCTGAGGATTGCCTCTGGCTTCTGCTTAGCCTTCAAGGCTATAAGTAGGGCTGGGGCAACTGAAGCTTTGCTCCAAAGTCAGTAACATTTGTGGGCCTTCAGCAGTGTAGGAATAAGTGGCATCTACTTAACAAGAATAGCCAGTTAAAATGAGAAGGTAGCAGATAGGCTAGGGTGATTTCCTCCCTCCACCCCACCTCTTCCTGCATTGGCCCCTCCAAGAGCTACCCTGCCTTGATGGTGTTATGGAGTCTCTGGTCTCTTCTCCATGCCTGGTGGTGGCACATAGAATACAGAAGGGTGGGATAAGCCAAGGATTACCCTCAAGGATAAGAAACATAAGACTCTTGGCCTTGGAAAGAAAAGATTTGTGGCAGGGATCTACTTATCTTTCCTTACTGAGTGGACCAACCCTGAAGGATAGAGTAGTGGATGTTCCAGAACTGGTTTTGGACCATGGCGGCACAGAGTTGGGACTTCATTGGCTTCTGAATAGTTTTCTTTGCGTTGCATCATTTGAATATGAAGCTGTTCTGAAGAAGATCCCAGTGAGGGATTCACTGGTTACTCTGTTCTGGTTCAGTCTTACCACAAAAATCCATGGCCAGGCTACTTTCTCCCTAAAATAATATAAGAAAAGCTTTCTGAAGAGTAGAGTGTGACTTGGAAATCCTTTCCTTACTTGGGTTTAAAACTTCAGCCCCCTGGAACTTCCAGCTCCCCTCAGAACTCCTCATCACCTTTATTGTGCCATTTGTGGCATAGTGGACTTGAAGTCAGGAGAGCTGGATTCAAATTCCACCTTGGATATTTACTAGCTTAGAGATCATAGGTGAACCTCTTTATTTTTAAGAGCCTCAATTTACTTTTCTGCAAAATGGTGGTAAGGATGCTTAGACTACCCACCTTACAGAGTTGTTAGGAGGAAGGCACTCTAGAAACAGTTAGAATAGGGATGTCAAACTCAGATAGAAACAGAGGCCTCTGAACTGGTCCACATATTGACTTAGTAAAGCACACATTACCATGACCTGTGTTTTATTGTTTTTAAATTTTGTTTCATTAAATATTTCACAATTACATTTTAGTCTGGTTTGCTTTCAATCCGCGTGTTTGACACTTCTGGTCTAGAAGACCTCATCCTTAGCATTTCTCTCATACCAAATTAGGCATCTCATCTGTTGAATATGGTGCAGATTGGAAGAGATAAGAAATATGCACCTCTCCCCTGCCTTGAGGAGGTGGAGAACTATAGGTGTGAAATACTGTTAGACTCAGTTGATGTGTAAATTAATTTTGCTGAACTGTCCCCCCAACTCCCACCCCTTTTTGAGAAGGCTCTGGACTAGGGGAGACAATGGCAGGGTACATAGAAATGAGGGTGATGCTAAACAAAGATGCAATAAAAAGAAAAATGTTCAGGGCTTAGCCAACACCTCACTAATGAGCTGTTTTATTTTTAAACCCCTTTCAGCAGATAGCTGGAAGCTCTTTGGAGAAAGTCTTATTTTTATCCTATAGCTAGAAGTCAGCTTGATGTATGGTGTAGTAGAAGAACCCTGGATTGGAGTCAGGACTTGTGTTCAAATCCTGACTCTGCTTCTTGCTCCCTGTATGACCACAGGCTAAAATTAAAATCACTTCCCATTATTGTATCCCTGTTCTTCCTCGGTAAAATGAGATGATTGGATTAAATGGACTCTAAAGTCCCTTCCAGTGTTAAATTCTATGATTCCATGCGCTATAAGCCATGTTCTGTGAATTGTCTCTCAATTAAGAAGCCCCAGTCCCTGCCCTCAAAGAACCAACAGTCTGTGTAATTGACAGCACCCTGTAGATTATAGCTCAGATGTGATCATGTATGTAAAGCATTTTGCAGGCCTCAAAGTGTTATATAAATGTCAACTAACATCATCATCATTGTTATTGCACTAGGTATAATGGGGTTTAATAGTTTCCAAGGGCTAAAAATAATAAGTAGAGATAATTTGATTTCTGAGTCCTGGCAGTTGGCATGAATGGAAAATGGGGGGGTGGGGGACTAGAATCAATCTACCCCCATAATAAATGTGAGTGTCACCGTCCCAGTTGCTCTGTCAATGCTAATTTAAAAGGACATGGCCTCAGTACAGATGCTCCAGCAAACCACGTGTGAGGAGACCCAGCCTGTGGGCCAGGAAGGATTAGAAACCTCACTGACCAAAGAAATGTTTTCTTTCTAGAAAATGGGAATGACAGAAGATGACAAAAGAAATTGCTGCTTGCTAGAAATTCAGGAAACAGAAGCCAAATACTACAGGACTCTTGAAGACATTGAAAAGGTGAGAGTCATTTTTTGCAATGTTTTTAAAGGGCCATTGAGATGGTACCAAGAGAAGAAACCAAAAAGGTTCCCTAGAGGCTGTAGCCTGTGTTTCAGATTTCTACAAGTTGATGCCATTGTTCGAATGAGAAGGGGTATGGGTTGGGGGTGGGGCAGTGGTCAAGTTCCAGCTCCAGCACTGACTGTGTATGACCCCAGACAAATCACTTTAATCTGACCAAGCCTGAGCTTTGCTATCTATAAAAAGAGGGATAATAATGACACTACCTATCTTATAGTGTTTTAGCAAAGAAGATACTTGCCTAACCTTAAAGTTAGCAAGGACCATGTTGTACAAAGCTTCAAAAGCCAAACAGGAGTCTGCATGTTATTCTTGGGGCAATAGAGAGCCCCTGGAGTTCACTGAGGAAAGCAGTGAAGTGGTCAGATCTGTACATGGGGGGAGGGGAATCACATTAGTAGTTGTGTGGAGATGGATTGTATTGGAGAGACCCTTGAAGCTAGAAGAGCAATAAGAGTTGAGGTGAATGACAAAAAGGACCTGAAGTAAGGAGGTGATTGAATGGAGAGGTGTTGGGTTTGAGATCCTGGGGGTAGAAAGATTTATGTGGGGTGAGGGAAAGATCCAATCAAAGATACTACTGAAGTTATGAACCTGGGAGCCTGGAAGAATGGCAGTACTCCTAGATGGAAAGGAGAAAGTTCAGTGGAATGATGGGTCGGGAGGGAAGGTAAGATGATGGGCTCTGTTTTGGACATGTTTTGAGATTTTCTGTTTTGAGATTTCTGATGTATGGTGTAGTAGAAGAACCCTGGATTGGAGTCGGGACTTGTGTTCAAATCCTAACTCTGCTTCTTGCTCCCTGTATGACCACGGACTAAAATTAAAATCACTTCCCATTACTGTATCCCTGTTCTTCCTCGGTAAAATGAGATGATTGATTAAATGGTCTCTAAAGTCCCTTCCAGTGTTAAATTCTATGATTCCACACAATATAAGAAGTACAAGTATCTTTATTCCCACTTTATGGATGAAGAAACTGAGGCACAGAGAAAGTGAAGTGACTTGTCTGGGGTCAGACAGTTTAAAAGTGTTTCAGAGGTGATTCAAACCCATTTCTCCGGACTCCCCACCATTGTTTCCATTATAGCAGTCCAGTTCTCAGAGCCACAATCCCACAGCTGGAATTTAAACCTATGTCCCCCAACACCCACTATCCCTGGATTTACAAACCTTGGACTGCTATCCCGAAGGCCTAAGCAGTCCCTCTAGTTAAAAGATGTATTTCCAGAATATCTTGAAAAAGTTTTATCAGCAAATGCTTACTAAGACAATACTTTGTATGTCTTTTGTATCTACTCCTGAGACCCTACTTTGTATATTCTTTGTTATCAACTTACATGCTTCTCCCTCCCCCAACCCTACTTTATATGTCCTTTGTATCTACTTAGTTGTGTACTGTGGTTTTTTTTTTCTCAGATAGAATGTAAGCTCCTTGAGGGCAGGGACTATTTCATTTTTGTCTTTCTATCCCAGTCACTTAGCACAATTCTTGGCACATAGTAGGCATTAATAAATGCTTGTTGGGTGATTGACTGAAGTGGCTCTCCCTGTGCCATTCTTGGGAATGGCATCCCAAAATGTGGACTCTGGATCCAAGGAGCTTATAACTTGGTTGGGGGAGAAAGATTTACATCCGTCAAACAGCAGTCTATACTATGCTGCGTAGTTGGGTACCAGATGACATGGTTTGGACTGATTTCATGTGCCAGAGGAGGTCAGAGCAGGGGAAGGCATATTGGAGGAGACAGGACTTGAACTGAGAAGGTATTGGAAGTCTAAGAAGTGCAGTATTCATGTGCAGCCTTATCAGAATAAAAGAGCATTCACTATTCAGAGGAGGCATGTGGATTTGCTACATCTAACAAGCCACGTGTCCAAGAAACGGAAAACCAGGGGTTATCTTACTTGCACATGTATCAAGACCTAACTTCTAGTTACTGGATAGTTTTTGGTTTTGTGTGTATTTTTTTTTTTTTAGTGTGGTAGAGTAGGCAAGCTTGTCATAGAAACTAATTGGATTAAAGTAGTATTTCACTGCCTGCATTCCTGGCTTGGAAATTGGGGTCAATGAATGCTGATTGTACTGGCTTGTGAAGGGAAGCCTTTCTTTCAGCAGCCAGTGATGTCATCCAGGCACTATTTTCCTGCCTTCCTCCCCATCTTTGCCTTTCTGCAACTCTGCCCCTGCATTTAAACCCCACAGTGACTCCATTGATTGGTCATCCAATGCTTCCTTTTCCAAACATTTACCTTGCTCATCTGGGGTGGGGAGGAAAACAAGCATGCTGGGTCTGTTTGATTTAGGATGCTTCATTGCCTACTCTGTGTTTATTTTTGGAAGTCAATTATAGCCTGAGGTTCAGATCAGAGCAGGAATACAACAACTGCTTTAGGATAGATTATGAGGGGTTTTCATTGCGCTGGTGCAGTCTTGGAATGGTCCTGCCTATGAGCTGATCCCTGACAATGCTTCCTCTTTCTAGTACTGCTAGTCTCTCTTTCATTGGTTTACAGATTTTGAATGTCATGCTGAATCCAGAGACAGAGATTTTTTTTTTCTTAGAGCAGGGGAGTGCCATGGTCTGAACTGTGTGTTACAAAGCTTACTCTGACAATTGTGAAAAAGGTAGCTCAGGAGAGATAAGAGATGGAGACAGGGAAGCCTTTTGAGCTAGGAAAGAAGAGAAACAAGAAAGCGTGGGATAGAGGACTAGATTTGGAGTCAGGGGACCTGGGATTTGGTCTTGGCTTTACCTTGAACACATTACTTTCCCTCTCTGGGCCTCAGTTTCCTTGTTTGTTAAATGGGAACAATGATACTTCAGTTTGGTGCTGATTAAGCTCCTACTGTGTGCAAAACACAGTTAAGTGATGGAGATACAAAGAAAAATCACATAGTCTCATACTTTGAGGCACTGATGTTTCAGTTGGGCCTGGGTACAAAAGTTAGGTACTACAGTAGATAGAGCTCTAGATTGGAATCAGGAAGACCAGAATGAGTTTTCAAATCTAGTTGCAGACACTTAATAGCTTTGTGAACCTGAAGAAGTCACTTAACCGCTGCCTGCCTCAGTTTCCTCATCTGTAAATGGGGATAGTTACCTCTCACTGGGTTGTGGTGAAGATCAAATGAGATATTTGTAAAGTGATTTGTAAAACTAAATGTGATATACAAATGTTGTTATTGTTGTTGTTATCATTATTACTATTCAGATAGGGGTAGGGACCTGTGATTTCATTGGTGGAGGGAATTCCTCTTAGATGAGGAAGTGCCTTTCATCAATGCAAATGAATACCTTCTTTGCAACTGTTAGTCTTAAAGAGTTTCCTGTAGAAGAAGGGTCAAACTCCTGGCTAGGGGGCCTGGGAAGAGTCCACAAAACTCTTTACTAGAGCCTGGATCAGATTAAAATGTAATTGGGAAATATTTAACAAAATAAAAATGCAATGGAACATACATGATATTAATTTATGGTTTTCTAAATCATTATGAAGCCATTGGACATCTGTTTCTGATTGAGTTTGATAACAAAGTCCTACAATACTGAGAGGTTAAGTTACTTTCCTAGGGTCACAGGCTAGAGGCTAGAATCGAAGCCTGTTCTTCCTGGATCCCACACCAGTTCTCCATCCACTATACTACCTTCCCTCTTATTACATATAATATAAGGGAAAAAGAGAGATTCAGGCAATACATTCTCCTTATGCCTGCCTACCTCCCAGGTTTACTATGAGGGTGATATGATATAATATCCAGAGAGCCCTTAGTAAACTGATAGATAGTTTATAAATATCAGCCGTTACTCCCACCACAGGTCTTAGAGCTGCTAGAAGGTTCAAATAAGACAGTCAATTCAGCAAGCATTTATTAAACACCTACTGTGTGCTAGAGATACAAGAAAGGCTAAAAAAAAAAACCCGCACACAAACAACCAGTCCCTGGCCTCAGAGAGCTCATAATCTAATGGGGGGGGGGAGTGGCGGGAATACAACATGCAAAAAACTGTACAAACAAGATGTATAATGTGAGAAAATCTCAGAGGGAAGATGCTAACATTAAAAGGTATTGAGAAGGGCTCCTTGCAGAAGGGGGAATTTTAGCTGGAGCTTGAAAGAAGCCAGGAGGCAGAGATGAGGAGTCAGAGCATTCTAGGCATGGGAGTCATTCAGTGAAAATACTTGGATTCAGGAGATAGGGGTGTCTTATGTGAGGAATTGAAAGCCAGTGTCACTGGACTGCATAGTACATGGGGAAGAGTAACATATGATAAGACTGGAAAAGGAAAGAAAGAGCCAGGTTGTGAAGGACTTTAAGAGCCAAACAGAGGACTTTATACTCAATCCTAGAAGTAACAGGGCGTCACTGAAGTTGATTGAGTCGGGAGTTGTGGAGGTGGGAGACACGATCAGACCTCTGCTTTATAGATAACTTTCTGAGGTGGTAAGTGCCTGTAGCAGGTGGGTGATCAAGTGGTCACAGTGTCAGAGGAGAGGAGGAGGTAGCATGTATGAGAGATGTTACAGAGATAGAATCAACAGGAATTGGTCATCAGTTGCATGTAGGGGTTGGGAGGGAGTGAGGGTTGGAGGGCAATACCTCTAATCGATTATGATCCTGGGTGATTGGGAAGATGGTAGTACCCTCAGCAGCAGCAGGGATATTGTGAAGAGAGGAGGAGCTTGGGGGGGAATGGGAAGGGAAGTAATGGGTTCATTCAGTGTTGAGTTTAAAATTTCTATGGGACATCCAGTTCAGGTTTTTAGAGACACTTGGAAATGTGAGACTGGGAGTCAGAAGAGAGGATTTAGTAGATGATCTCTAAAGTTCTTTCCAGCCTTAAATCTCATACTCGAAAAGGAACAGATAGAGAGTGCCACAGGAAGCCAGAGGAGCGAAACCTGTCTCTGTTTCTGGAATATCCGGCTTTCTCATCTTGGTCCTTTGAAAGATGTTTGTGGAGCTTCAGTTTAAGTGTTACCTTCTCCTGCATCCTAAAAACCAGCTCTCCCCTTCCCAGATTGTCTTAAGAGCACTTTGGACTTGTACTTTGTTCCTATCACACACTTATTTTAAAAAGATGTTTTACTTAATTTATTTTTAAATTAAGTAAAACATCTTTTTAAAATAAGTGTGTGATTATTTTTATTTTATTTTTAATTTATGGAATAAAACAAAAGATGATTGCACATGAAACTGCAAACCTGTATGTACAAATTGCTATTCCCTTTAAACATATAATAGTTATCATGTATTTTTTTTCCTTTTTTCCCTCCCTTCTCCCCACCCTAGAGATGGCTAACATTAGACACAAATATGTGTGTATGTGTGTGTGTATGTTTATGTATGTATGTATATGTAAAATCATTCTATACATACTTCTATTTATCAGTTCTTTTTCTGGACGCAGAGAGTGTCTTCCTTCACGCGTCCTTTGTAGTTAATTTGGGGTATTTATAATAGCCAAAATGATTTATTCACTCAAAGTTGTTTATAAAACAATATTGCTGCTACTGTGTACCATATTCTCTTGGTTCTGCTCATTTCACTGTTCATTATTTTAGGCAAGTCTATCCATGTTTTTCTAAGATATTACATATATGACGTATATTTTTAAATTTTAAAAAGTATTGGTATCTTTTGTTACATTCCCATACTTACATGTAGAGTATAGTTATTTGGGCATTTTTTCCCCATTCTTTGTACTTGGATCCACAGTGCCTGGTACATAGTAGGCTCTTCATAATATTTGTTTATTGAGAGATTGATGGCATGTGTTGCAAAAAACATAATACCTGCCTTCAAGGAATTTGACTGTCAGTGGGGGTCTGGCTGAGGGCCTTTAGCACTGTTCTTTGAACTGAATAAATGTTCTGAATTAAATTGAATCTCACATGCAAATTGACCTTGAGCTCCAATTCTCCTCATCTTTCTTCCTCTTCATAGAGGCAGAGGCAAAGGAAATCGCCTCTTTCTCCTTTTGAGATGGCATTCACTTCTCCGTGTTCTGTGTTCTTCTCTCTCTTTCAGAACTACATGAATCCTCTGAAGCTGGTGCTGAGCCCTCTGGACATGACCGCCATCTTTATTAACCTGGAGGTAAGAGCCTCAAAGGGGATGTGCTTCCTCTTTCCAACCCTTTGACCTTATGGGCCCATTGGCTCTCACCTGGTGGAGCTGACCTGGAACGTCACTGGCATCCGGTGCTCCTGGAACACTGATGCCTACATCAGAAACTTGGCATTCTAATCCCAAAGATGATTTCATAGTGATCCCTGGATTTTGCTGCTACAGACTCATCGCTCTGTCTCTCTAACAACTTTTCTGAAAGACAGTTGGATGTAGTCAACCCATGTCTGCCAAGTAGACCTAATCCTTCCTATATCACCCAGGACTTATACGAGGATGTACAAAGCATCTTTTAAGGCATAGAAAGTTAGTCTCTTAGTCAGGAAGATCTGAGTTCAAATCTTACCTCTGACATTGACTTTATGACCCTTGGCAAGTCACTTAATTTTTTGGTATAGGCAACAAAGGTGCCAACCTACATTGGTAAAGTATGTTTCTTAGCCGTACTTTGGAAGTACTGGAAGACATCATAGGTTATGCTTTTGGAAAAGTAGTATTGGAGGGGTAGCCAGGTAGCACAGTGGATAGACCACTGGCCCTAGAGTCAGGAGGACTTGAGTTCAAATCCAGCCTCAGACACATAACACTCACTAGCTGTGTGACTTTGGGCAAGTCATTTAATCCCAAATGCCTCACAAAAAAAAAATAGTATTGGAACGGGGGAAAAAACCATGAAAGTCCTTTGAGTTCTTTGGAAGAGAGGAGCTGTGAGAATATGAAGAAATATAAAGACCTGCCATGACCAACAGGAGCTTTCTCAATAGCTGGAGACAGACATTTCCCTGCACGTTTGGAGGAAGTTGTTTGCAGGTATGCACACATGGAACTTCACATGAACATAATTACTGTAGGGCACAATGTTTCAGAATACACACATTGGTGGAGTTTCTCAGAGACCATATGCCAGCTTTGTAGCCCAGCTAGTCAACACTTGCTGCAGGAGCCAGGAGATGTGAACAGCTGACACACTGCAGGCATCTCCTGCTCTGACCTCCTTTGTTCTCACTGGCACAAGGAGGCAAGGAACGGCTGGGCTTTATCTCTCAAGTGAGAGCATGGTCACCAGGACCTGCATACTCACTGAGGTCAGGGTGGTGGGAGATTGTGCCTGTCTTGAGTTCTGCCAGGGAGCACATGACCAAAACACATAATGGGAGTCTTATAAGAAACTGGCACGGACTCTACAACCAGCTGTCCAGCCGTCCAGCTTATACTTGCCTTGCGTCACTCTACTGCTCTGGTCTGCACTGAGATTGGGGTTGGAAGGAGTGACAATATAAACATAGTAAGAAATGTTTCCAGTCTGGTGTCCCCTGCACCACACGTACCCTTGAGTCCAGTGACACTGGCCCTTCTGTTGTTCTTCAAACATGACACTCCATCTCCTAACTCCGTTAGATTTATGGATAGGTGAACACTTTGTGAATAAACAAGAGATAGAGAGCAAAGTTAGGTCTAACTCCAAACATTTTCACTGGCTGTTTTCCATGCCTGAAACACTCTTTCTTTGTTTCTACCTCCTGGCTTCCTTTAAGTCTCAGCTAACGTCCTACCTTCTGAAAGAAGCCTTTCCCAATCCCAATCCCCCTGTTGATTATTTATCTCCAATTTATCCTGTCTGTATTTTGTTTGTATGTAATTATTTGCATGTTGTCTCCCCATTAGACTGTGAGCTCTTAGAGGGCAGGAGCTATTTTTTTAAAAGGCAATTGGGGTTAAGTGACTTGCCCAGGGTCACACAGCTAGTAAGTGTCTGAGACAGGTTTGAACTCAGGTCCTCCTGACCGCAGGCTGGTGCTCTATCCACTGTGCCACCTACCTGCCCAAGGAATTATCTTTTGCCTTTTTTTTTCTTGTATCCCCAGCACTTAGCAGAGTGGGTGCTTAATAAATGCTAGTTAACTGACTGACAGCAGAGCATACCTGATAGAGAGCTAGCCTAGGAGTCAGGAAGACCTGGGTTCAAGTCTCTCCTCCGACACAATGACTTCATGACCCTGGACAAGTTGTTTAACCTCACAGTGCCTTGGGTAACTTTAGGCAATTCTCTGATATTATAAATTGCAGAGGAGGTGCCAACCTGCATTGGTAGAAACTCCTGGTATCAATGATATCACAGGTCTAGTCCCCAATCCCTATCCCATGGGTAAGGTACAATGTTAAATGTTGGAGGATATAAAGGTAAATTAGACTCAGGTCCTACTCTCAAAGAGTTTGCTTTGTAAGTGGTGGTGGAGTATAATATAATTATAATATAAAACTACATGTTATTATGCATAATAATTAATATATAATACATGATAATCACATGTATAATATAGTGAAATATAAAAATTATATATAAATAATATAATAATAAATAACTGTGATACAAGGAGAGTAAGATGAATACAAAAGAAAAATCCCAACAGAGTACTATGAGGAACTTGATGGAGGGCAAGATCACCTTGAGGCCTTGTGTCTTTGTATCCCAGTGCCCAACCTAGTGCACCGCACACAGTAGGCATTTAATAAGTGCTTGTTCGATTGAATTGAACTTTTCAATGTGGGCAGGTTTACAAGGGATGTGTGGGAAGGCTTCAGGTTTCATGCAGGAAATTTGTCAAGGATAGATGGATGTCAAGCTCAGAGACAAGATACCAAACTCAACTTGACAACCAAGTTGAGTAATACATCCATTTTGTAAAGTCAGATAATATTTCTAAAGCAAATCTCTCCTGATCTTCCACCTCTACCCAATACCACCTCCCCCATGATGGAGTTAAAAGAATTCCTAGTGGGGAATAGGAGCTGAACTGGCTGTTTGAGTTTTCCTTTCTTTCAATGATGGCTTAGGAAAGAAGTGGCCCAAGAGACTAGCCAGCAACACTTTGTGATATTCCATCCTTGTTCATTTTCAGTGCCCAGGGCTGCTCAGGGCTCACTACTGTGTATTATGACCGGCTAATGTATGCTGCTGGATGGCTCCCATTAGGTTTAGTAAAGGGACTTTAATATGCTCAAAACTCCTATGTACATTTATCATTGTATAACCTTCTAACTTAATTACACACTAGTATTTGTGGTGATTCAGGAATACATTTCACTAGAGTCTCTTACATTACAACATTTAATGGGAACACAAAGGGACCAGAAGATTGTTTACAGGAATTGTGAAGCCTTCCTGAATGTTGTCTGGATGATAACATGCTGCCTGTTCCTTCATTGCAGGACTTAATTAAAGTGCACAACAGCTTCCTAAGGGCCATTGATGTATCAATGATGGCTGGTGGGAGCAGCCTGGCCAAAGTCTTTCTAGAATTCAAAGAAAGGTGAGTTGCTTTGGGACTTTTCTGTCTCTATAGTATCTTCACCCTTTGGAAACATTGAAAGTTATTATTTGCTCTCATCAGTCTTATGTCATAAGAAAATGGCAAGTTGTTAGCAAATATAGTTTGATGAAAAGCTTGTCAGGAGACCTTGATTCTACCTCCAACTCACTGGGCCTCAGTTTTCTCATCAATTAAATGGGAATAATTTTTTCTTCCTTATTATTGTATCAAATGAGATCATGTATATGAAAGCTTTTTGAAAATTACAAAGTGATAGATGGATACACTTGATTATTATTAAGATATTCATTTCTGGCTTCTTTCCTTTCTCAAGATAAGGGGCACTGGTAACATTGAATAAATTTCATTCCATGTGGAAATTCCTAGTGGATAAACTGGTGCCTGAGAAACAGCTCAGTTACTTATAGACTGTTTAGTCATCTCCTGATCGAGTTTTCTGGAAAATCAGATTGTGTTCATCAAACGAGATAATATTTGTAAGGCACTTAGCCCATTGTCCAGCACATAGCAGGTGCTAAATAAATGCTTATTACCTTCACTTCCTCCCATAAAAGAGTTATGTTATGGGCTATGTCTGAACTGTACAGTGAGTGACCAGGAGAAAAAGGATTTCCATGAGCTCAGAATCTTAGAGCAAGAAGGGAGCTTAGAGACCCTCTCATCCAATCCCCTCATTTTACAGATTTTGGGGAAGTGACTGACCAAAGTCACACAGCTAGCTATAGTGGAAAGTCAGTACTTGAATACCAATAACTTGCTTCTCAGCCTTGTTTGTTTCCTGCTACGTTATGTAGCTTCCTGGCCAAGCACTCAAGAGCTCCCAATCTTCCCCTTTTCCTCTGTTCAGCCACCCAGTATGAATACCCAGGAAGCCTGAGAAAAGTTGAAATGGTTAGATATGATGAATAAAAATCCTTTAATATTCCTAATCCAATCAGAGGCTAGGCTTCAGCTGTGGAATGATGCCAGGGGGAATTAAACTGGTGTCTAGACATAGAAGTATCATCCAGCAGTCAATAACTCCAGAAATATCATCTGCATTAATAACCGACCATTAGGTTAGAGATTCCATTATGCATGATGCTCCTTTTAGAAAGTAAATATTTATGATGAGAAGATAGCAAAACTAATTTATGAAAAAATGCAGAAGACAGGTTGGTCTCTTTTATGGGACACTCATTTACTTATTTCTCCCCCTTTCTTATGCTCCTCCCTTCTTAATAAATAACTCCATATTATGGTAGTTGTGGAAACCAAATCCTCTGCCTTTCCCCCATTATTGTGCTTGGTCAATAAGCAATGGGTTGAGGATGCTATGGTAAGGGCGATTCCTGGGGTCTAGAATCCATGCTGTCAGTCAGGATAGAGGGCAGGGAGGCTGTATAGCTTTCAGTAGTTAGGAAAAATCAAAAGCCTTTCGAAAGAGGCAAGTCACAGTCAACAGGTCTCAGCAGCCAGGACAAGCAGAAATCAGGGGGTACTTTACAATTTTTAAAGCACTTCTATATAGGTTTAGAACTAGAGATGGAAAGGACCTCAGGGTTCATTTAGCCCAACCCCCTCATTTTACGAATGAAGACATTGAGACCCAAGGAGGTTAATTAACTTGCACAAGGTTAAATGATCCTGGATTCAGAGTTGGAAAGGTCCTAAGAGGCCAGTGAATTCAACTTCTCATCCCCCTCCTTGCCCCCCATTTTGCAGATGAGAAGATTGAGTCATAGGAGGTTAAGTGACTTGCCCAGGGTCACATGACTAGTAGTGTCTGTGGCAGAATCTGAATCCAGGTCCTTCTGACTCCAATAGCCATTATTGTCTGATGTCTCTCTAGGGTCACACAGGAAGCAAATATCAAAGGCAGAATTTGAACTCAGGTCCTCTTAAGCCCAAAGCCTGTGCTCATTCTTTCTCCCCAGACCCTACTCTTTCTACCATATCATGCTGCCTCTTACATGCTGTCACTGAATACTCGTGAAGATTTCAAGGATGAGGTGGGATGTGATCTGGGTCGTGAAAGATCATTACAAAGTAGTCACTGTGGTTTGACTTCGGGAGTTTTAGTGTTCCTGCAGAGAATGTTTTTCTAAGTGTTCCTCTTGATAGATCAGTTAAGGCAGATGGAGGTGATGGAAGTGGGTGGGTGGGGAGTCCCTGGAACCATCTAGCTTAACCCCTTTTGTCCTCTGTCCGTGTTATGTGCCTCTGGGACCATTTCTGGAACTGTCTTGAAAGGCAAACACCTCATTTTTGGATGGCTGGGACAAACTGCACCTTCCCTCCCCTCCCCTCCTTTCCCCTCTAATACGTGCACAGACACATACTCTATGCTTCTGAGGAGTGATTTTTCAACCTCATGAGGAATTCTCTACATCCTCTCCCCCTCTTTCACTGTCCACTTTGCACTCCACTGTGCTAAAGTAGAAGCTATAGGCTTTGTCGGGTTTTTTTTTTTTGTGAAAGGAAAAAAAGTTAGTGGCTCTTTGAGGGGAGGGAGGGTGGGATTTGAGGGTCAAGCAGCTCAGCCTGTTCTCCCAGATTCCTTTCTTGTAAGGAATAAGTCATTTGTGCATCTTGTTGCCCTGCCCTGGGGCCTCCTTTGTCCCTCCCCCCATACCCTTAGGCAGCCATCCCCAAGTATTACTTATGCTGGTTTGTGGGACATGGAGCTGGGCTAGCAGGCCTGGCATGTGGAGCATGGGGGGAGTCAATTTTAGGTCAGTCTTCTGACCCACTTTTCATACCAAATCCACAGATAAGTTCTCCTACTTGCCTAGAAACCATCCAGATTCACAGCTGAATTAATCAGCTCTGCAGCTGTGCCATAGACATGCCTGATTGACAGCTACAAATCCTCACCCAGGTGACAGAGACCCCACTCTCAGGATAGGGAGACATTTCTTGGAGCCTTCATTAGCCTGGCTGTGCGATTCTGCTCCACAAAGCTGGGAGAGTGTGGGGAGGGTTGGTGATGGGTGGAAGTGCTGGGGACCATGATTCTTCCTGCATTTCATTATGATGGCTGCAGTGTAACAGGTCTAGCTCCATGCCTCTGCTAACTGATGACCTTTGTGAGTGAGCCTCTAATTTCCCAGTGCACAGAGATCTCAGCCCCACTTAACCTGCTGTCTGGTTTATCAGACTCTCTTTGTTTTGGCTGCCTGACACTGCTTATCACTGGCCTGATGGACAGATGTGGGAGGAAAAAAAGAGGGCCTTCTGCTTTGACTGACTGGGGACCTGCCTTACTGAGATTTGTAAAAGTTTGTTTGGGGGGCTTTGTGGAAATATGCAGTGGCTTCCTATTTTCTTTGGGATAAAATGAAAACTCCTTAGCCTAGCACTTGGAGCTCCCCCCCTCCCCCTAGAAAATCTGTCTTCCTCTTAACCTTGAGTCTACATTCCTTCAAGGAAAAAAAAGAGAATAAATATGTATTAATTGCCTACCACGTGCCAGCTACTTTGCTAAGTGCTTTACAAATATCATCTCATTTTATCCTCACAATTAGCTATTATTAAGCTATTGTTATCCCCATTTTATAGTTGAGGAAAGTGAGGCAGATCAATGTTAAGTGACTTGCTCAAGGTCACACAGGTGGTAAACATCTGGACTAGATGTAAGCTCAGATCTTCCTGACTCCAGGCCCAATGCCTTTACCCACTGCAACATCTGGCTGCTTTCAAAGTCTCAGGTCAGGTGTTACCTTCAATGCAAAAGCTTTCCTGATTCCCTCATTGCCATCTCCCCTCTTAGTTTCCCTCTTCAAATTATCTTATTTTTACTTATCTTTGTACACATTCTATCCTTTCCATGAAATGTAATCTCCTTAAGGCAGGAATTGCTTTCCTTCCTTGTCTCCCCAGCACCCAGCTCCGTGCCTTACACATGGTGGGTCGTTGATAAAAGCTTCTTAAATTGAATTGATATATAAATTTGAGTTGTTATTATCTGACTTTCCCAACATCCCAAGTATGTAGCTATTAACCCCATTTCATAGGTGAAGAAGGTTCAGACGTTAAGCAGTGAATTACTATCTAAGTCAAGATGAGGACACAAAGTCTCTGGATTCCCAGTTGGGGGCTCTTTCCTTTTTGTGTTTATATCCTTGGTGTTAGCACCACATCCCACAGAGTTAGTACTCAACACACATTTGTTCGGTTGAATTGTTCACACAATCCCAGAACTCCAGACTTTAAAGGGATGTCACTGGTCACCTAGTCCAACAAATACCTCATCAGGACTTCTTTCTATAGCATCCCTGATATGTGGTCATCCAGTATTTGATTAAAAGCCTCCAGGAAACGGAAGCCTGCTGCCTCTGGGAGGAGCCCATCTGACTTTAGAGAGATTCTAATGAGGATTCTTTTCCTCACATTGAACCAGTTGGCCCATTTCTTCTAGCTCTGCCCTTTGGGGCCAAGCAGAAGAAGTCTAATCCTTCTATGGGGAAGCCTTTCTAATACTTGAAGACAGTTTTCATGTACGCCAACTTCCTCAAGTCTTTTCTCCTTACCGAACAAAATCTTCAGTTTCTTCAACTGATCTTCATATGGACATGAACTGGAGGCCATTTGCCATCCTGGTTGCCAGCCTTTTGATGCTCAGGAATACTCTCTGACTTCTCAAAAGGAATTGGGCAATGTAGAGGGATTCAGGGTAGCCCTGGTATAGGGTCCACTGCTGCCTTTTACTTCTGACTACAGAATGGGTTGGTGGTTGAAAGTATATTCTCTGTAAGAGGACCAGGTAGGTATTCTCCAGGAAACTTTGGAGAAGCCTTTGGGTCTGACAGTACCAGAGTGGGTTTTGATCCCTTGATGTAAGGCTCAGTATTTGGCGTCACTGGTTGTCCTACATCTAGTGCTAGGGGTAGGAGTGTGTGTGTGTGTGGGGGGGGTAATGTAAGATGAATGTAAGGGACCCAGTGAAGGGGGTAATGCAAGACTGTTGTCATTTTTGTCCAGACCTGTGGTTTTATTCA